ACCTGCAGTAAACTCAGGGGGCTGTGGAGCAGGGGTCTGTGTGGTAGACAGCAAAACACACCCAAAGCCAGGAGTTAAACAGGAATCAGAAAGTCCTAGATTAGTTTGAGGAATATACAGAAGTCACTGGCTCAAAGGATCCAGAGATTTCCTGAGCTAAGGCATGATGTGTTCAACAAGATTATCAAATTAAGATTAATAAAGGGGCTGGAGATGTAGCTCAGTGGTAGAGTGCCCCGGGTTCAATACCCTGCATGGCTAGGGGACCCTAAATGTGTTGCTAAGACCCCATAACCCTGGTCCAGAGAAACTCTGAAATTTTACAGCTGTGCTTGCAATTTTCCTGGCTTTGTGATATCCTTAACTTGAATATAAATGGATGCCGGTTTTTTATTTATTTAATTTTTGTACCAGGGATTGAGCCCAAGGGCATTTAACCATGAAATCATATCCCCAGACCTTTAAAATTTTTTTTTTTTTTTTTATTGTGAGACAAGACTTCACTAAGTTGCCGAGGTTGGCTTTGAACTTGTAATCCTCCTGCCTCAGCTTCCCCAGCTTCTGGGATTACAGGCGTGAACCACTGTGCTGGGCTTTTAATACATTTTTAAATGAAAAAAAAAATCACTCCTACTAGAAGGATCTGAACCATGGGCCACGCGTGCCCCATAGAGGTGCCGTTGCTGCTCTGCTGTCCTGGATGGTGGTCAGTTCTTGGGATTGCCTATGGGCTACTGATCTTCAAAGGTCAAGTTCTGAGGAAGGTCAAGAGGATTCCCAGGATGATCTTTGAGATCAGCCTGGTGGCTTTCACTCTGAGACATGCATTGGTCCAGATGGGGAAGATGGATTCAGTTTTACAGGGCTGTCAGGTTAGTGTACACTGAGTCGCGTTAGGAGACGGGGCGCCTCCTGGAGCTGAGCCCGCTGTGCTGCTGGTGCAGAACCTGAGCCACCATGCTGCTTCAGACCCAGACCCCTAGGGGCCATGAATCCGGAGGGCACCCCAGACATTGATGGCGCTGTCCACATCACCCCCTAAGAGCGACCCTGAGCCCAAGCCCAACACAGCCCTGGGCAGCCTAGGAGCCTGAGGCTGTACTTCTGTAATCCTATTCTTGTGAGAAAATATCTTTTAGTTACTGAAAATAAAAAGGAGAGAATATGGGATGTACATACTCTCCATAATGGTGACATCCTAGACTGGAACTATAGAGAATTTTATTTTCTCCATTATATATTTTAGATTTTGGACTTTATTTATTTTTTTGTACCAGGGACTGAACCCAGAGGGGATTAACCAATAAGCCACTTCCCCAGCCTTTTAAATTTTGAGACAGGGCCTTGAGAAGTTGCTGAGGCTGGCTTTGAACTTACAGCCCTCCTGCTGTAGGATCCTGAGCTGCTGGGATTGCAGTGGCCACCACGCCCAGCTTTACAATGTATAATTTATAAGCAGATAAAAGGCAATTTTTATGAGTTAATGTATTTCATCCTCTTGCTTCTTCATATTCCATGCATATGATGCCACCTTCTGGTGGCTTTTTGTGTATGCATCAGGGACAAAAACCATTGAATTGTCAAGTTTCCTGCACCTGTCTGCCTGAGGTGTTTGAGCTGTGCCCCTGAGTCCAATCCCTGGTACCAACAAAACAAAACAAAAACCCCCCAAACAAAAAACAAAACAAAACAAAAAACCAAACGTGTTTGACTCAGTCAGGGAGATGTGCAGATGAACAGGAGACATGGAGGTGAGGACACAGATAAATATGCTCCAGGCGCCTCTGGAGAGGCCCAGGAGACTGACATGAAGAGGGAGGTGGGTTTGGTTGGGAGGGAGGGAGGCGGGAAAGAAGACAGGGATACCAGAACATGAACACATTTGCTTTTTGTGGGTGGTTGTTGTTGTAGATGAACATAATAGCTTTATTTTATTTTATTTATTTCTATGTGGTGCTGAGGATCAAACCCAGTGCCTCATGTGTGCGAGGTAAATGCTCTACCACTGAGCCACAACCCCAGCCCCACATTTGCATTTTTAAAAGACCACTCTGGTCAGAAGAGATTTGGGGAGTCCATTTAAGAGTGTATAGCTCCATCCTAGTGGTGGATACTTATCCCAGAGAAATCCCCACATAGGCCATGAGGGGACAAGCAGGAGGTCACTCACTATGGCATTGTGGCAGCAAGTAATGGGAGGAAATTTAGAAGTCCACCATCAGGGGTCCAAATGACTAAAATGTGGGTACCTGCTTTGAAATGCCACATGCTTATTCTAAGTCACATATTAGAAGTACTAATATGTGACTTAGAATAAGTCAAGGACAGTTCTAAAAAGTAAGTCCTGAACGGAAAAAGAAATCGAATGAGCTTTATAGCACAATACCAATGAGCCTGGGTGTGGTGGTGCACGCCTGTAGTCCCAGCTTCTTGGAAGGCTGAAGCAGGAGGATTGCAAGTTTGAGGCCAATCTGGGAAATTTGGCAAGACCTTGTTTTGGAATAAAAATCATAAAGGACTGGGGGCAGGTGTAGCTCACTTTTAGAATGCCCCCAGATTCAATCTCCAGCACGGCATGACAGATAGACAGACAAAAAAAACCCATGATGGGCTGGGATTGTGGCTCAGGGGTACAGCGCTCATTTAGCATGGGCGGAACCTGGGTTCGATTCTCAGCACCACATAAAAAAATAAAGGCACTGTGTTGTGTCCATCTACAAAAAAGATTCTCTCTCTCTCCCCCCTTAAAAAAAAAACCACGATGAAAATATGAGACCACTGACCATGTTTTACAAGGACATTCCCATGTCCTACTGGTGAAAGGGGGAAGAGTAAAGAAAAAAGCTAAAGGGACAAAAATATATAAACTCAGAGAGAGGCCAAGCAGAGCCAAGTGGTGATAGCGTGTCATGAAGCAGAAATGAGCATCTCAACCTCAGCACCTGATTAAAACAATAGCTGGCATGCTGGCACAGGCCTGGAATCCCAGCAACTTGGGGGGCTGAGTAGGAGGATCACAAGTTTGAGGCCCAACCTGACCAACCTAGAGAGACCCTCTCTCAAAATAAATTTTTAAAAGGGCTAGGATAGGGCCAGGGCTGTGGCTCAGTGGTAGAGTGCTTTTCTAGCACGCATAAGGCACTGGGTTTGATCCCTGGCACCATATAGAAAATAAAAACAAATAAAATAAAGGCATTGTGTCCAACTACAACTAAAAATATATTAAAATGTTGGGTTCAATCTCCAGTACCAGGGCAGAGGGGGAGGGGAAGTAGATGGATTGTGTTCTGTGGATGAACACATATAAAGCATTTTCTGCAGTGCCTGACACGCAGTAAATGCCCAACAAGTCTGTTTTTATACAGCAAATACTTAGTGATAGGTTGAATATGAGAGGAAAGGAAAGGGTGATGTTGAGGATAGGTACTAGTTCAGAATTATGCTGAGACTGCTAGGTGCAGTGGCGCAGGCCTGTAATCCCAGAGGCTCAGGAAGCTGAGGCAGGAGGATTGGGAGTTCAAAGCCAGCCTCAGCAAAAGGGATGCACTAAGCAACTCAGGGAGACCCTATTTCTAACTAAAATACAAAATAGGGCTGGGAATGTGGCTCAGGTGCCCCTGAGTTCAATCTCTGGTACCCCCGCCTCAAAAAAAAATTATGCTGAGTGGGAGATGAGGTGAAGAAATGAAAATGATGATAGATAATTCTTTTGAGAAATCTGGATATGAATGAGAAGACAGAAAGAAAGACAGAGCTCTCCCTTACATGTGGGCAATACTCTACAACACCCATTTTTTTTTTTTTTTTTGAGACAGCATCTCCCTATTTTGTCCAGGTTGAGTTCAAATGATCCTCAGCTTCCTAACTAGCTGGGAACACAGGCATGTGCCACTAACACGTTTTCTAAGTTAATATATGTTTACTGTAGAAAATCAGGAATTAACGAAAAATTTAAAAAAAATTGTGAACCACAAGAATGGAATCCTAATTAGAATAAGTTATACTCCATGTATGTATAAGATGCCAAAATATACTTTACCATCCTGTATATGTAAAAAGAATAAATAAAAATACTGAAAAAAGCAATTATGAGCCTCAAATCTCTCCTCATGAGCAACTACAGTGGATATTTGTCATTCGGGAAAGCTCCTAAGAACTTCATGAATGTAAAATTTGTGAAATCCTTAAATAGCATAATATTCACAAAATACAGGAGGTAGAACTGAGATTGGGTAGACTGTTCCTACCAATCATTGAGCTAGAGACCACAGAGAAGAAATTCAAGTTTGATGGAAGAAAATGATATGTTAATTTGGGGGCTGAAAGTTTCAGTGATGAAGTCTGAGATTTTCTAATAAATAGGAAAATATCAATGGCCTGTTAAGTACCAGGTACTGTGCTAAGTACGGGGAATACTTCGATGAACAAAACAGATGAGCCTCACCCCAGAGAGCTTGCAAGTCTATCAAATAATCCACTAATATATAATTATATATTATATAGGAGTTCTGTAAGAAATCATAAGGTACAAGATGGCTTTTGACAAACATCATAGGAGCTAAATATTTGCATATCCACATTCTTAATTTCCTGGGGAGATTCTGTAAAATTGTGATTTTCTAGATTAAAGAACGGTTTATAATTTGTTTCTAATTATTAAAACACTTTATATTTTTTAAGCAGTTAAACTGAGTTGAAATTGCAGATATTTTACAACCCCTGTGGGGTACTCCTTTCCCCATCAAAAATCTGCTCTATTTTTTTTTTTTTTTCTGATGCTGGGGATGAAACCCATGGTCTCGCGCATCCTAGGCGAGCGCTCCACTCTCGCTTTTAAGTACATTTGCTTTTTACAGCAGCTTTGGGATCTGGGAGAAAGCACTGAAAACACACAAGCACCGTGGTTTGTGGAGTCGTGCACAGGTGTCAATTTAAAAACCACATTTCCCAAGAGGCAGCGCGGCACGTCACAGAGGAAGGGCCGCGCATGCGCACGAAAGCCCTCAGCGCTCAACCAAGCTCATAAAAGGCAAAAAAACGTGTGTGGTTCTCGACGTGCCGCGAATCTTCGAACGCAAGTGCGTTACCATCCGCAGACTCTGAAAAAGCGTTCGCGGGACGCACCTACTGTCGCCGTCGCAATTTCCAGCGCGACGCGTTTGTTCCGCTTGAGATTCGGTAGGTGGGGCTGTGCCGCGGGCCTGGGAACGCCTGAGAAAGGCGGGCACGGAGGGCCGAGGTCCTTCTTCCGCTCTCCGGTTCGGGGCCTCGCTGAGAGCCGCCTTCGAGGGGCCGTGCGCACGCGCCCTGAGCGGAAAGGGGCGGAGTTCGGGAAGGGCGCCTGGCGCCGGCCCCCCGGGGTCTGCGCGTGCGCCCTTTCGTCCCCGGCGAGGGTGGGAAGCCACGCCACGCCACGCCGCGCCCAGCTTGACTAGGGAGCCCGCCCCCGGTAGGGTACTCAGGCGCTAGAAGTTGAGCAGTGAGGATGAGTCCCTGGACACCTGCACTTTTTTCTCCTTGTCCCCCAAATGCCCAACAACCTCATTCACTCTCTTTCACCTTCCAGCTACCTCCAGTTAACCTCATTTGCATCCAAGGGATAGACCCATTAGCAGCTTTTTCTCTTCCAGTCTCTTCAACTCCCTTATGGCAGGCCGTTTGCTCCGCTAGTCCCCTGAAACAGTCCACTGGTGGTTTTCCAAAGCCACCAATGATTTCTGGGTCACCAAGTTCAATAGTCAGTTAGTTCTAGGTCCTGAGCAGGATTTGATGCAGTAGATCTCTGCCCCGTGTTGACCCCTGTCCCCGCTTCCTTCTCCTTCATTCTGTTAGCACATATTTACCCTTGAGGCGTAGTTTCATTTCCGGGTGTCTGATTGTGAGTATTCTCTTTGGCACTTGGCACATGGTACATGGTATGCCCTCACCCCCCTACTTTTTTTTTTTTTTTGGCATTACTGGGGATTGAACCCAGAACTTCCCAGGGCTTTGGCCCATGCGAAGCAAGCTCGTTCTCTACTCCAGCCTTTTCTAAATCACATTTTGTGACAGAATCTTGCTAAAGTTCTTCAGGCTGGCCTCCAAGTTATGATCCCTCTGCCTCAGCTTGCTGAGTATCTGGGGTTACAGGCACATGCCGATGCACTCAGCCTGGGAGGGCCTTTCTGCCTGAGAATTTGTTTTCAGTTCTTTGACATTCTCTGTTATTATTAACTCAGGGTTATCCATTTATCTGCTTTATCTTCTGTCTCCTTTAGTGCTTATTTCTCCTACGGATAATTATATGGAACTGTAGTCATACAGCAGCTAGCTGTAGGAAAACATTCTGAAAAATGCATTTTTAGGTGTTTTCATTGTGCATTATAGAGCACACCTATACAAACCCAGACATTCCTAGGCTATAAGATACAGCCTGCTGCTCCTAGGCTACAACTCTGTATAGCATGTTACTGTACTAAATACTGTAGGTAATTGTCACAAAATAGTACCTTTTATGTATCCAAGCATAAGGAAAGTTATAGTAAAAATATTAGGCAGTAAGAATTTTTCGGCTCCATTATAATATTATGCAACCACCATCAATATTTGGTCTATTCTTGACTAAAATGACATTATGCAGTGTATAACTGTTTAATGCCTGGGTTCTTTTCTGGACTGTTTCCTAAGAGGAAGATGGGACTCCTTGTCTCATTCACTGTTATATATCCCTTGTGCCTGCTACAGAGTAGATTCCTAGAGCTATGATGGTAAAAATAGTGTTGCACATGTGGTAAAAAAACAGATCAGTGTCATAGGTGACCAAGAAAAAAAAGAAATTGGATTTCATAGCAATTTAAAAACATCCAAGGACACAACTCAAAAAAGACAAAGCAACTTAAAAATGGATGAAGGCAACTCTCTAAGATACATAAATGGCCAACAAGCAAGCACAAGAAAAGATGCTTTCTGTCATTAGCCATCGGGGACATGTCAATCAAAACTAGTGATATCACTTCAGGCTTACTAGGATGGCTGTAATAAAAAGACAGGTGACAGATGTGTTAGTATAGATGAAGACAGTGGAGCCCTCACATTGCTGGTGGGAATGTAAAATGGTTTACCCACATTGGGAATAGGCAGTTCCTCTGAATATTAAACATAGAGTCACCATATAATCCAGTGATGGATACCCACACCTAAATATATACCGAGAACATGAAAAAAATATGTCCATCCAGGGCTGGGGCTGTGGTTAGTGGTAGAGCACTTGCCATGCGTGAAGCACTGGTTTTGATCCTCAAGACCACATAAAAATAAAGATATTGTATCCATATTTTTTTAAAAATATGTCCACACAAAAACTATATGTGAGTGTTCATCATTCATAATAGCCCAGAAGTGGACACAACCCAAATGGTCATCAGTTGATGAATTTATATACAAAATGTGATGTACCAAAACAATGGAATATTATTCAGTAGTATGAGGAAATGAAGTGCAATGCAGGCAAATCTAAAGAGGCAGAAGCTGCGCACCGTGATGCACACCTGTAATCCCAGCAGCTTGGGAGACTGAGGGAGGAGGATCGAAAGTTCAAAGCCAGCTTCAGCAAAAACGAGGTGCTAAGCAACTCAGTGACACTCTGTCTCTAAATAGAATACAAAATAGGGCTGGGGATGTGGCTCAGTGGCTGGGTGTCCCCGAGTTCAATCCCAGGCCCCCCCCCCCAATAAAAAATAGGCAGAAAGTACATTAGTATGTGCCTAGACTTAGGTGAATGGGAATTGTATACCTTTTTAAAGCGTACAGTTCAGTGGGTTTAAGCAACTATTACATTCAAATTAAGAATTTTTTTTTTTTTTAAAGAGAGAGAGAATTTTTTAATATTTATTTATTTTTTTTAGTTTTCAGCGACACAACATCTTTGTTTGTATATGGTGCTGAGGATCAAACCCGGGCCGCACGCATGCCAGGCGAGCACGCTACCGCTTGAGCCACATCCCCAGCCCAAGAATTTTTTTTAATCCCCTGTCAAAAGTGTCTTATCCATTTCCTCTGTCTCCCCCAGTACTTCCCTACTTATCTTTGTATGGATTTGCTGATTCTGGATATTTCTTATAAATGGAAACATAATATGGGGTCTTTTGTGGCTGGCATCTTTAATTAGCATAGGTTTTTTTTAGGTTTATCTATGTCATAACATGTGTCAGTACTTCATTTCTTTTTATTGTTGAGTAATACTACATTATGTGTATAATACCACACTTCCCCATTCATTTTCTCCACATGCTTGCCAACAATTGTTTTTCTTATTTATTTATTTCCTTATTTTGGTACTGGGGATTGAACTCAGGGGCAGTCAACCACTGAGCTACATCCCCAGCCCTATTTTGTATTTTATTTAGAGACAGGGTCTCACTGAATTGCTTAGCACCCTTGCTTTTGCTGAGGCAGGCTTTGAACTTGCAATCTTCCTGCCTCAGCCTTCTGTGCTGCTGGGATTATAGGCGTGTGCCATTGCACTGAGCAACAATTGTTCTTATGTCTCTTTTTTTATGAATGAAATGGTATATCTCCTTGTGATTTTGATTTGCATTCCCTGATGATAAAGAGGTGGAATGTGGTTTTATGTACTGGTTGGTCATTTGTTCTGCTATAAGTTTGGATCTTAAATGTCTCCCAAAGACCCATGTGTTAAAGGCTTGGTTGACAGCCTGGCACTATTGGGAGGTAGTGTAAGTTTTAGGGTGGGACTATTGGAAGGAAATTGGATCATCAGGGACATGTTCTTGAAGGGGATATTAAGTCCTGGCTCCCCCCTTTGTTTCCTAGCCACCATGAAGTGAATAGGTCTCCTCGGCCACATGCCCCCACCATGATGTACTGTAAGGCCAAGTTGCCTCAGCCTGAAACCTCTGAAACTGAGAGCCAGAATAACCTTTTCTCCTTATAAGTTGATTGTCTCAGGTATTTTTGTCAGTAATATATGTATATCTTTTTGAGAAGTTTCTGTTTAGGTAATTTTTGTCTGTGATCTGAGATTAGAGGTCCTAATTCATTCTTCTGTATGTGGATATCCACTTGTTCCTCTACCATCTGTTGAAGAGACTATTTCCGTATTGAGTTGTCTTTGTACCCTTTTTGTAACTCAGTTGACCTTAGATGTCAGGGTTTATTTCAGTGTCTGGATTCTGGTCCATTGGTCTACATGTAATCACCATTTTGATTACTATAGCTTTGTAGTAGTTTTGTAATTGGGAAATATGGTTCCTCTGACTTTTTAATTTTCAAAATTGTTTTGGGTCCCTTGACTTTGCTTATGAATTTTAGGATGAGTTTGTCAGTTTTTACAGAGAAGCCAGCTGGGATTTTCATATAGAATGCTTTGAATTTGTAGATCAATTTGAGGAATATTATCATCTTAATTTTCTGTCTTCTAAGATCCATTTATTTAGGTCTTCTTAATATCTTTCAAAAGTGTTTTATGGTTTACGCTGAAGAGTAAAGATTTTATACTTTTATTAAACTTGTTCCTAAGTATTTTGTTCTCTTATTGTAAATGGAATTCTCTTTTTAATTTCATTTTTGGGTTGTTTGTGACAGGTGTATAGAAATACAATTGATTTTTGTTAGGACTTCCACGTATCTTTTGAAGGAATGCAGTTCAGCCCACAGGAACCACTAATGTCCTCTCCCTTCCCCACCAGGCACCTTATACGCCATGGCCCTCGTGTCTGCCGACTCCCGCATTGCAGAACTTCTCACAGAGCTCCACCAGCTCATCAAGCAAACCCAGGTAGGAAGCCATAGCCCTCGAGAGGAGGGTCAGGGCTGTGATGCAGAGCTGAGGAGGATTGCCGGTGGGACTTGTGTTCCCAGAGAATGTGAATGCAGGAATGAAGATGGTGGGGGGTGGTGTGGGCATGACTGGGCCTCCTGTTGGATTTTCTGTAACGTACAGGATTTCCGGATTCTTTTTGTTTAGCAGCTGTATTGGGAGATAATTCACATAGCATCCTATGCCCCATTTAAAGTGTGTAATCCAGTAGTTTTGAGTATATTCAGAGTTGTGCAGCCATGTCTATAATATACTATAATGGCGGATACATGACAGTAAGCATTTGTCAAAACCACAGCCTTGTTAGAGCACGGACTGCAGTTAGTAGTGTGTCAGTACTGGTCCGTCCTCGAAGCAGAGGAGCGATGCTGAAGCAAGATGTGAATGATTGGGGAAACTGCATCGAAGAGAGCAGGAATATGGGGACTTTCTGTGCTGTGTGCTCTGTTTTTTTAAACCTAAAACTGCTCTAAAAATAGTTTACTAATGAAGTAAAATTTGAAGAACAGAAAAAGACGCTGGCACAGCATTAGAGTTCCATTCAGTTTATCATCATCCTGGTCGCCAGAACGTCTCTCAGGAGGCCACTCAGGTCTGCCAGCTTCTGTTTGACCTGGTCAGCTTCCAGAAGCAGGAGTGGTCTTGGCCAGCGTCCGGGCACCTGGTGTAAGAGTGAAGGGACACCATATTCTCTCGCTCTGAGTCTCTCTTAGGTTTTACTATAAGACTGACTTCTTTCATCACATAACCCCTGTATTCATTCTTTGGCCTCAGACGCAGGATAACAGATGCAGGCCGCCCCTTGTCCTCCTAACCTTACACTCACCAGGAGAGCATTTGAGATCGAGTGCTCCTCTCCTTTGTCAGTGGTAAACACTGTCCATACTTTTCCACCCGTGGGAGGTGTTAGATTGGCCGCTGTGCTGTCTGGGTGGCTGGCAGCGGTACTGTCTCGTCCATTTCCTGTTATTCCATCCACATAGGGTTAGTTACGAGGAGCAGAGTATTGGGCTCTCTCCACAGTGAGGCTGTGCTCACTGTTTGCCCCACTGTTTTGCCCCACATGGCATAAAGGCACAGCCTAAACCTCATGTACTTAAAAAATCCCACATCGGAGTTAAAAGGAAGAATTTTACCTTCTCTTGAGGGGTCGTCCCTGCCTCCAGTGTCTGTAGCTGTAGCCCTGCTCCCAGGGACCAGTATATGGGGAAGAATTGTACCAGTACATCCACCTTCAACTTCTTATCCCAATCAATTGATCACAGCTGTGTGTGCTAATTTTTGGATTCTTGATTCTGTTCTATTGTTCCATGTGCTAGTGACATACCTTCGTTCCTCTTTTTTTTTTTTTTTTTTTGGTGGCCCTGGGGATTGAGCCTGGGAGCGCTCTACCACTTAGCTACATCCCCAGCACTTTTTATTTTATTTTGAGCCAGGGTCTTGCTAAGTTGTTGAGGCTGGCTCCTGCCCCAGCCTCCGGCCTTACAGGAATGTGCCACTGGGCTGTTATGTTTTTGTTTTTGTTGTATAGAGCTGGGGATGGAACCCTGGGCTTTAAGCATGCGAGGCAAGTGCTTGACCACTGAGCTACACCCCAGCCTACCTCATCCTTGTGATGATTGTAGCTTTGTAGTAGATTTTGAATTGAGTCCTTCAACTTTCGTTTTTCAAGATTGTTTGGGCTAATGTGGGTCCTCGAGTGTCCATATGAGTTTTAGGATAAGTTTGTCATTTTCTTCATAGAAATCACCAGGAATTTTAATGGTGATTCCATGGAATCTGTAATTTATTCTCTTTTTGATAAAGGGTGCCATTAAAGGGTAACTCATGATTTAACTCTTAATGGCTTTTGTAATGTTTTTGCATTATTAGTCAGGGGAAAAGCTTGTCTTGAACTTGTACATTCGGATTGATGGGATGGGGCTCTGGCCCAAGATGCAGGGTGCCAAATGAAGGCCTCGCTCCTGTCCCCTCAACCTCATGCTCACAGGAAGAGCGATCGAGGAGTGAACACAACCTAGTGAACATCCAGAAGACCCATGAGCGGATGCAGACAGAGAATAAGAGTGAGTAGCGGGGCTCAGGAGGGAGGGGCTGACTGGGTGGGAGCCAGTGTTCCCTTAGGCTGAGTGACCTTAAGTCACCCAGGAGACTGGTGATGGACTCATCAGCTCTAAAGAACCTCAAAATCCCTCGAGTCTGGGGACTGGAAAGCCTGTGACTTGAGGCTGCATCTAGAGAAAGTTCCCCTTTGAGTGAAAAGCCACCCTGTTAGGTGGAGGGGGGGTTTGTGGAATGCAGCTGTCCCCTGCACGCACCCCCGGGGCTCCCGGGTGGTCACACATCTGGGCTGTGCTTTCTAGTCCTGAGTAGCTTTGAAAATTGTCCCTCTGTCTGATGCTGACCAGCATTTTCTGCTGTGTCATGATGGGGAGAGGCAGAACGTGCTGCCTTAGCTGTGGTAGTGTCTGAGCATGAACTTGCTCAGCAGGAGCTGTCGGCCCTTGGGTACACTGCGGAGCCAGTAAAGCCCAGGCTCTGGGTCCTGGCCTCTCTGAGCCTCCCAAATATGGCTCTGGTGTCCTGGGAGCAGTGCCATGTGGCCGCCGCCCCCTCGCCCATGCCTTCTCACCCTGTGCTCGCTCTACAGTTTCTCCTTATTACCGGACAAAACTGCGAGGCCTCTACACCACCGCCAAGGCCGATGCGGAGGCCGAGTGCAAGTGAGTACTGTCCCGGCCCTGCTGTTGCCCTCTTCCCTTCCTAGCCTGGCGCTGGGCTCTGGGCGCCCGCGCACTAGAGCCCCCAGCCTGGGTCTCCTGTGGAGGAGAGTCATCCTGCCCGGTCTCTCCCCTGGTTCCCGCCCTCCTAGTGCCTCCTCCAGGGAGGCCTGCCACTGGGTACCTGGCGGCACAGCGTGAGTCAGGTCCCAGCACTGCCATTCCCTAGTCCTTTGCCCTGGGGCACAGCTTCAGCTGAGACTCTGTTCCCTCTTCAGGAAAGCTGGGACAGTCACTCCCTACAGGATTGTGAACATAAAATGGGATAAAGCATAGACAATGCCAGATGCCAGGGTTGGTGGGCTCTTGGGGCCATCCCCCACGGTGGAGATACGTTCTGTATTGAGGCCCAGTGATATAATAAAGGCTGTTTTGCAGCCTCACTGTGCTGCTGGGACCATTCTAAGTACTTTTTATGTTTATCTCATTTAATCCACACAGCACTCCTTTGAGTAGTTTAAAGAAATTACCCCCATTTTACAGATAAGAAAACAGGCCCCAGAAGGGTTACATAATCCACCAGAAACCTGGGTCGAGGCCCAAATCCTGTATTCTTTAATACCCTGCTAGATGACAAAATGGTGCCTTTCCACAGGGTATATTTATTTTACATGAATATATGTCACAGAATAGGGACAAAAGTTATTAGTGTTACTAAGTATAGGCTATTACTTTATTTATTTACTTTTTAATGCAGGTTGTACCCAAGATGATAATTTCATGATTACATAATAAGCGGTGGTCTGCAGTTTAAATAACCGTTGAGCTTGTTCAGGGACCTGGGATGCCAACCATGGGCCAGAGTCGCTGCTCAGCATTGCTGATGGCCCCAGGGCTCTTCCCTCCTCCTCCTGTGTGGCTCCCTCAGGCTCTGTCCTGCGTTTACTTCCTTGGTTTTCTTTGCCGTCTGCCCACCGTCCTGTAGGCTTTGCTGATGCTCACCTGAGTCTGGTGCTGGGCCATCTCTGCAGGTGACACAAGAAAGGGGAGAACCCTGCCTTCAAGGGCCCAGTCCAGAGAGCAGGCCTCAGGACTGGGGAAGAGGAGGGCAGGACACCAGGGCCTGTTGTACTGTGGGCCTCATCCTGGGGGCCAGGCAGGCCAGTGAAGACTTAAAGCAGGAATGAAAAAGAATGGTTGGGTGGGTTCAAGGCTAGATAGGAGACTAGGCCCCAGATGGTGATAGAAGTGAATGGGACAATGGCAGTGGGGACTGGGAGCAAGGATAGGTTCAGAGCCATTTCTGAGCTAGGTCTGGGTGCACACCTGAAATCCCAGCTTCTCAGGAGGCCAAGGCAGGAGGATCAAAAATTTGAGGCCAGGTTCAGCAATAGTGAGATCCTATCTCAAAATAGCAAATAAAAATAGGCTGAGGATGTAGCAGTTCAGTAGTAAAGCACCCCTAGGTTTAATCCCCAGTATGGGGTGGGGGGAGCCATTTCTGAATCAAATTAGGGGCCAGTTAGCAAAGGGGAGATTGAATTCAGATTCCAAGGTTTCCAGCTTGGACAAAGGGGTCTGGTGGGGTCCCTTATGCCAGATTGGGAAGCAGAACAGAAGGGTGGGGCTGACCCAGGCAGGAGCCTCTGGATTCTGACTGAGGCGTCTTGAAACAGCTTCCTCCTCCTGGCTGGCCAGCCCTCCCCACCTTGCCCTCTCTCTGGTCCGCAGATTATCACCTGGCTGAAGTCGGGCCGTTTTTCACTCACCGAGGCGGGGTGGCTCGCAGAGTCAGAGGCGTACCTTTTTTTTTTTTCTTTTTCTTGGGTGCTCCGGGCCTCATACAGGATAGATAAGGCTCTACCATGGAGCTGCAGCCCCAGTCCTTCATTTGAGTTTAAAGAGCAGACTGTCACATCCCAGTCTGACTGCTCGCGGAGTGAAGAGACTCTGGAACCAGTTTGGCATGGGCCACCGCTGGCACTGCTCACAAGCTGAAACATTTTAAGCTTATTTGGTGGATGCAGGGCCCACCCTGAAGTTCTGCTGTTGTTTTACTTTTTCAGACTCTTTAACCTTCTTTCATTTGCTCCATAAATACTGAATCAAAACTTCTCAGCCCAATATTAGGGTGGAAAGGGGCATGGGCAAGAGGGGTACTCCAGTCTAGCTGCTGGAGAGGACCCATGCAGCTGGGTCTCACCGTGTGCCCTGATCTGGCCACTATAACACGTGTCAGTGGTTCCTAAAAGAGTCATTCTTTTCTTTTTTTCCCTCAGTGCTGGGTATTGACCTGGGGCACTCTCCACTGAAACAGGGTGTCACTATGGTGCCTAGTCTGGCCTCAGACCTGCAATCCTCCTGTCTCAGCCTCTCAAGTCACTGGAATTACACTACACCTCCCAGCAATAGAGACATTCTTATGCGACCCTATAGTACAGAATTCTCAAAATCAGGACATTAACTCAGATACATACTGAGGAACTAGAGACCTTCTTCATATTTCATCATTTTCTGCTCAGGTCCTGTATAGCAAAAGGAATGGACCATTTTTTCTAGTGCAGGTCGGCATTGCATTTAATGTCATATCTCTGGTCTCCTTGAATCTGGAACCGTTCCAGGCTGTCTTGGCCTTTCATGATATATCATTTTAAGGACATAGGTCATCTTGTAGCACATCTCTCCATGTAGATGTGTCTGACGTTTCCTCACTGCTAGATTCAGATTTTATGCTTTGGGCAGTGGCGGCACAGACGTAAGGTCCATGGTGCGCCTACTAGAAGGCCCGAGGTGCTGTTTGTCTGTTGGTCAAGGTGGTGTCTTTGGCCTATCTCTGGGAGATACTTTGTAACTATGCATACATCCTGTTTCACTTCAGACCATTAGTTTGAGTATCCATTTTATGATTCTTGCCTGAAATAATTGGGATTTCACCAGGAGAGTCTCATGTCCAGATAGGGTGGATAACCACTTGTTTGGTATCACACGGAGTAGAACTTTGGACATGCTGTACAAAAACTCTGTCCTCCAAATGAGTCAAGCATCAGTGACCAGCCTTTCAGAGTTTCCTTTGATATACTGGCTTTTATTCTTCTTCTGCTCTCTAGGCTGCCCGATTGCCAGTGTCCCAGTGTTCCCAAGCCTGTGGTGGCTAAGCCTCCCTTGCCCCACGTATCAAACCCATTGAACTTGAGTGCTTCGCACAGTGGGGTGGCAGTTCACCTGTCCTGCTTTGGTGTAGCTGCTCTCTTCCACTGTCCCCTGGCCTCTGCCTGCTGAGCGCTGTGAGTCACTTGCTCTGGACACCCACAGGGTCACATTCTGGAATGCTGTATTGTGGTTGTTCATGTGTCTCCTTCCTGTTGGGCAGAGGCCTTTGTACCAAGGGGTGTTTAATAAAGCTTTGCTTGAGGAATGGGCTGGGGTCTGCTCTGGGAGCAGGTAATAAAATGACCCGTAGTGGAGCACATTGCTCTTGAAATGCCCTCTGGGGTGGTTCCCCAAGATCTCAAATAAAGAAGCCTGCCTTGACTGGTTGCAGTGGTACTCGCCTATGATCCCAACTATGCCAAGGCTGAGGCAGGCGGATTGCAAGTTCAAGACCCGATTGGGCAACTTGACGAGACCATGTCTCTAAATTAAAAATAAATAAATAAAAAGGACTGAGGATGAGAACCCAGGGGAGTGTCCCTTGGTTCAATTCCCAGTACCGGGACAGGAGTAGAAGCCTGCCTCCCTGAAGTTTTGTGGTGATATCTGCGCCAGGTGACTTGGGTTTCTATCAACTTGGAACCTCCATAAACTGACTTCCTTAGCTTCCTGGGGCCATAAGTCTGGGCAGAGGTCTGTGCCTGGTTGTGGTCTTGCATGGATGAGTTTCCTGTGCTCCAGCGTTGCTCTTAGCCAGGACAGTCTCCACAGCACTGGCTCTGTCCTACCTAGGGAAGACCCTGGGTTCTCACTTCTGTCCTCATCACCTCAGCAGGATGTTAGAGTGGCCTGAGCCGCAGCTGCTTTTCTGCAGGATATGTCATGTGCTCTCAGCACAGGCAGCCCAGCCAGACCTGCCTTCCTCCATAGGATCCTTATCTTAGGGCCTCGGGCCTGTTCTTCCTGCTGCCTTGCCATTTGTACTTTTAGCTAAGCCAGGACTGGGAATTTAGCTCGGTGACAGAGCTCTGGCCTGGCATGCACCAGGCCTGATTTTGAGCCCCAGGGACCCCCCGCCCAAACACACATGCAGATTACAAACGCAGGCATGGATTACTTAACATTCTGAGATGTGTGGCATTAGGTAGGTTCATGATTGTGAGAACATGACAGAGAACTTAAGCAAATCTAGATGCTATAGGCCTCACTCGGGGACCTATCGATGCAAACAAGACATGCGGTAAACATGAGAGAGGCAGCTACTGGTGTCAAGGGCATATTGCTTTCCAGTTAATTTCTTTATTTAATAAATAGGAGTATAATCTAACAATCAAAAGTGAAGTGAAGGGGCTGGGGCTGGGGCTTAGTGGTGGAGCGCTAAGTGTGAGGCACTGGGTTCGATCCTCAGCACTACATAAAAAATAAATAAAATAAAGATATTGTGTCCATCTACAACTAAAAAAAAATTAAAAAAAAAAAAGAAAGTGAAGTTAATGCTCGATCTAGTAGCATAGCCAGGCTCAGTGGTGCACACCTGTAATCCCAGTATCTTGGGAGGCTGAGGCAGAAGGATCATGAGTTTAAGGCCAGCCTCAGCAACTTAGTGAAACCCTAAGCAATATAGAAAAACCCTGTCAGAAAGAAAAAATGAAAAGGGTTGGAGATGTGACTCAGTGGTTAACTGCCCCATGTTCAATCCACAGTACCAAAAGAAAAAAACCCCAAATCCTAGTAGTAGCACAGTCACTGTTATCGAGTGTACTGTACTGTGTGTAAGTACGCATGCTCTACTGTCAAACACCTGGCCATGCAGTAGGTTTGTCTACACTATTACTGCCACACACATGTAGTGTGTTGCATTAGGATGTTGAGATGGCTGTGGGGTCATTGGGCGAGAGGAGGTTTCCAGCTCCCTTGTGTGCATTCCTTGTGCCCATTGAACGGTCCTTACATGGCCCGCTTTGTCCTCAGGATCTCTAGTTTGCAGCACTAGGGTTGCCTGAAGAGCCCAGCCTGACATAAGCAAGAAAGTGCACGCCCCAAAACCTCTTCTCTGCCTTTCCTACCCTCAGCATCCTCCGCAAAGCCCTGGATAAGATTGCTGAGATCAAGTCGCTGTTGGAAGAGAGGCGGATTGGTGAGTTGGGGGATGCACTAGGGTTTCCTGAGCAGGCAGAGTGGGGGCTGCTAGGACAGCCATCAGGCCTCCTGTGGAGAGCCAGTGGCACTGACAGGTTATCACTGCACATGGCCTCGGGAAGGGTTTTCCTCCTGGTTCTCCCTTCTTCTGTGACCCAGGGCCTGTGCCTCCCTCCTTCCTCCCACCACCCACTCTGCTTCTTGCTGTGGGGGGGGGAACCTGGGGGCTTGGCAGAGCCCCACTCTGTGTCATGAAGCAAGGCCCACGAGTGGCTGCCACCCAGGCGCTGCCTTCCAGGCCACAGACGCCATTGCCCTGGCTTCCCCGCCTTTCTTGCCAAAGTGGGCAGACCCCTCGTCCCTTGGTCTTGTCTCCTTGCCAGTTTGGTTTTGTTTGATGTTGAGGGGTACGTGGAACCATGCCTGAGAGGCCAAAGGTCCACACTGAATGATTGGTTCTCAATTTTGGGTGAATAGATGATTAGAAAAGTGCCCGGAAGGGTAAGGCTCCTGCGGGTTTTGCTGACCCAACACACTCAGGCCAACGGTGCCCAGGTCAGGAGACAGAGGTGACTGCACCTCCAAACCACCCTTTGGCAACTTTCTAGCTCCTCCCCTCAAGGGTGACCATGGTCCCCACACCTCATCACCCTGGCAGTTTAGCTTGTCAGGGTCCCAACTTGGACATCTGATGGATGGGCAGGGAAGGGGCTGGACCCTTGGTAGTAACTGGGAGGTGGGGGCTCCCTGATGAGCTCCTCTGACAGCACAGAGCAGGGTGCTGGGGGGGGGTCTCAGGGCAGGTGCCCCTCCATGGGGCCTCAAGGATGCACCTCCTACCCACAGCGGCCAAGATCGCAGGTTTGTACAATGACTCGGAGCCGCCTCGCAAGACCATGCGCAGAGGGGTGCTGATGACCTTGCTGCAGCAGTCGGCCATGACCCTGCCCCTGTGGATCGGGAAGCCTGGTGACAAGTGAGGGTGGCAGCCAGCAGGGGGGGCCTGGTGTCCAGGCCCAGACTAATGCTCCTTCCACTCACAGGCCCCCACCCCTCTGTGGAGCCATTCCAGCCTCAGGGGACTATGTGGCCAAGCCTGGAGACAAGGTGGCTGCGCGGGTCAAGGCTGTGGATGGGGATGAGCAGTGGATCCTGGCAGAGGTGGTCAGTTACAGCCATGCCACCAACAAGTGAGTGGACACCCACCCCGCTGAACCTTGCTCACCACACCCTCTTCCGCTGGCATTGTTCAGCCTGTGTGCACAGTGGGTGAAGAGCTTCCCCGGAGGGCACCTGGGCAGGAGGTGTGGGAGGCACTGGGCTCCTCGGGCCACTTTCCCATTCTCCATCTCCCCCTCCTCCTCTTTCTGGCTCCCTGGCTTGCAGTGGGCACCTGGCTACACCCGGTGTCCTCCTTCCATTCCCCCACAGGTATGAGGTAGATGACATTGATGAAGAAGGCAAAGAGTGAGTGTCCATCTGGGAATGGGGTGGCCAGGCTCCTGGCAAGTGGTCTCCCTGGCCCTGGGCTGATTGGGTCTCCCCTCAGGAGACACACCCTGAGCCGCCGGCGCATCATCCCACTGCCCCAGTGGAAAGCCAACCCTGAGACGGACCCTGAGGCCTTATTCCAGAAGGAGCAGCTTGTATTGGCCTTGTATCCCCAGACCACCTGCTTCTACCGTGCCCTGATCCATACGCCCCCACAGCGGGTAAGGCAGCCTCCGTGGACAGGCCTTTCATGACACCCGGCTCCAAGACAGGGCATGGGGTCATCTTCTGAGTCCTTCCCTTTTCTCCTCTCATGGCCTCATAACTTAAAGGACCTACATCTACCTTGTGAATCCCTCCTGCCCAGCCTGAGCCGGAGCCTGCCCCCATTGAGCAGGCTGCTCTGCCCTCCTGTCCTTCCTCACTTTGACCATAATTGGACCCCAGGCCTAAGCTAGGAGCACATACCAATGTCTCCTGATTCCCTCCGTCACCCCAGCTCTTGCCGACACTGACACATGAGACTCTGGTCATTGGTAACCTGATGCAGCTAAAGGCTGTTCTCTTTGTGCCTCTAGGACACCTGTCTGCTCTCTGGGCTGTCCTTGATCCTCTCAACACAGGGCTCCTGAATGGCCCCAGACATCCTTGCAGGTCTAGGCTGACCCCTGGGTAGCGAGTCTCTCTTTCCCACTCTTTATCTGCTGCCTGGAGAACTAGCTCTGGAGCAGCAGGGACTGGGGTGAGCATCTGGACCCCTTGACTCCAGAGTGAAAGATGAGGACCAGAGAGGCTGGGAGCTCACAGGGTTCCTGCTGGGCCAGGCTCCAGGCCAGGAGGAGGCTGGCCTGTCCCGGCAGCCTCTGACCAGCCCCTCCTGTTTGCCCTGGCAGCCCCAAGATGACTACTCGGTTCTCTTTGAAGACACCTCCTATGCAGATGGCTACTCCCCTCCCCTCAATGTGGCCCAGAGGTACGTGGTGGCTTGTAAGGAACCCAAGAAAAAGTGAAGCTAAGCAGCAGACTGGAGGTTTGCTGCTGCCGTCCTCATGGGAGAAGGCAAGAGAGGATTTTCTGGGATCAAATAAATATTCTTCCCCCTCTCCTGTGTCTCCTGGCTTTCCTCTGTAGGGGGCAGGGGCAGAGGGCCCTACCTGCTCCAGAGAGTCTTCCAAGAGAATCTCTGTCTTGAACAGATTATATAGATATTTTAAATTTTTATTTTTTGGTGATAATGGAAATTGAACTCACCCACACTCCACCTCTCGGCTGCATTTGTAACCTCCCCTGCCTTTTTCTTTTTTTTCCTTGATGTTATTTTATTTTGACGTAGCCTAGACTGGCCTCAAACTTTGGGATCTTCCTGTCTTAGCCTCCTGAGAGCTGGGCATGTAGGCCTGAACCTCTCTGTGTTTGTATTTTATTCCTGAGGTCATGGGTCAGGCTTGTGCCCACGACACCACTCAGAGCTGCCAGTGGAAGTTGAGCTTGCAGCCTGCCATCTCCTCCGCATAGTGGGCATCCAAGTGCTCATTCTGGGCCACAGTAAGGGCAGATTTCCAGTCCCCTGGGATGCCTGGGGAGGGACAGAGTAATGCTGGAGTCCCGTACACAGGTGGTCCCAAGAGACTCAAGGCAGGATCTGGCAGCTGCTTCTACCCTTCCCTCCCCAAATACCCTCCTGTTGGGGCACCCACCTTTCCTCATGAAGGGAGAAATACTGTGGTCTAGGATATGAGTAGGAAAGGTGCTGTAGTCAGCCATGGGGTTCTTCTTCATCTCCTTGGAGGATGTGGCTGGACAATGTGATCCACGGTCTTCTTTGACAGGGAGCGCCCCAGAAACTCCAGGATCTTCTGAATTTCCCTTTTCAGGTTCTAGAGCAGCAGAAGGGCCCTTCAGAGGGGGCTTGGATTGCTTATGGGAAGTGGGGGGCTGGCCATTTCCACTTGGAAACCTCCCAGCCCCAGCTGCTTCACCCTGGACCTCTTTCCCTGGAGCAAAATGACTAGCTCTCTGCCTTAGGGTTCTGGAGTGAGCCCTGTGTGGTGCCTGAGGAGAGAGGGCAGGGACAGTCTTTTAGAACTGTGGCCCCAGGTGTGGCGCAGCCTTGGGCAGTGCTAGAACATAAGGGCTGTGCTGGGTCCTGAGTTGGGCTGGCTCTGAGGTTCCAGGCCAGGAAGGCAATGTGGGGAGAACTGGACTGGGTGGGCCTGCCAAAGGGGAGGGTCCTGAGGGCCTTGTCAGGTCCCCTGAGGTTCCTGCCTCCTGGGTGGGACATAGATAGAAGTAGTAGGCAGTCTTACCTCCTTCAGGTCTTCATAGAAGAGTTAGAGCACAGGATGAGTGCGGTTCAGCTCTCCCCATTCCTGCACGTGCTGGTACCATGACCCATAGGACACTGGGGAAAGGACCAGTAGGGTTTGGTATGAGTTTTAGGTGGCCGTCTTCAGCTCTAGCCCTCTCCTTCCTCCATGTTGGGGTCCACCTTGTCCACCCATGAACTTCTCCAGGAACTTGTCCCAGGTGCCAGGGTCAGGGTGCACCTTGGCCATTTTGTAGAAGTTGTAATAGGAGACAGCCATGTCCTTTGCATTGCGGGCAACATAGATCACCTGCAGGGACAGATGACACCCACTGCCAGCTACACCACCCCATGCACACACCCCAGGACTGCCTGCCTCCTGCCTGCCTGGCCCCCTCACAGCACCCCTGTGGGGGGTTCCCTCTCAGCTTGACAAGGAAACATGCTGAGGCCTTGAGGCTGACTTGCTGGAGACCTCAGGAATGGCTGTGGCTGCTGGGATCTGAACTCAGCTTTGATGGGAGACTCCTGGCTGTACTTCATCCTAATCTGACCCCTTGAATTCCACCACACACCCAGATGGAGATCAAGGCAAGTTGAGGTCTTTCGAGCCCCTGTATGAGCCTCCAAGCATCTGAGCTTTCCTGTTCTCAGGTCTGAACTAAAGAAGGCATGGGGCCCCAAGCCTTTAATCCCAATGGCTCAGGAAGCTGAGGCAGGAGGATCCCAAGTTCAAAGCCATCCTCAGCAACTTAGGCCCTAAGCAACTTGGCAACATCCTGTCTCTAAAATATTTAAAAAGGGCTGGGGATGTGGCTCAGTGGTTAAATGAACCAGGTTCTATGCCAGGTACCTGCCCCCCAGCCCCGCCAAAAGAACAGTCTCACTCTCCTTGTCTTCTTGGCCCTGCCACAGTGAGGGCAGGTGGCCTTCCCACAGCTTGAAGAGACTTTCCCAGGAAGAGGACCAAAGCTGGAATGGTCCATTGGGCCCCCTGCCACTCACCTTGACTTACAGACTTGGGGAAGCAGGGCCAGTGGCAAGTGGGTCTTGAGGATCCGGAACAAGTGTGTCTTTTAGAGACTCCAGGCCTAAGGTGTGGGCAGGGGAAGGTCTGATGAGCTGGAACCTGGAACTTGGCCCAGGACAACACCAGGCACTTGAGGGGAGACCTGGGCATTTGAATTCAAGGTAGGACACCCTAAAATATATGTGGGCCCAATGACACTTCCTTAGGTCTCCTCCGTGGTAGATCATCTCCAGTATCTCACTCAACCAAGTGGTGCCTGGAAAGGGAGAGAAGCAGGCATGATCCGGGTGGAGGGCCTGGCCCCGCTGACCAAGGTGGGGACTGCAGCCCCAGTAGGGGAGCAGGGTGGCCGTCCTCACTTACCAGACTTGGGGTAGGTACAGATGAGCAGGTCATTGGGCCAGGTCTGGAAGCTCTGAAGTGGCCCCACCATCTCTGCAAAGTACTTGGTGGGTGGGGATCCCCTTCACATTGACCAGCAGAGGACAGGAGTTATTCTGGACCAGCTCCGTGCTGCTGAGTCAGGGACCAGCGCCTGCTCTACTTCTCTGAATACCACCACAAAACAGTATTTGTGGATTGTTGCTTTGAGATTAGGACACAGACTTCAGGAGGCTCTGTGAGTTGACAAGCTCACCAAGCTAGTGAGCGGGGAGCTGGGATGGGGAGGCAGGTCTAAACCCTAGTGCAGTGGTTCACGGCTTGGGCTGCACCTTCTGCAGAATTTTCCATGACTCTAGGGCAGTGTAAGCAGTTCCTGGCATCTGGTCACAGACATTGGATTTGGGAAGATTTCCAGGAGGTTCCAGTGAGTGCTTAAAACAAATCTTCTAGGGCCTGTCCATTCCATTTTTGTTTTGTATTGCTTGCAGTGCTGAGGAGGGAGCCCAGTGCCTCCTGCATGCTAGGCAAGCACTCTGTCTGTGATGTACACCTCTTCTGCCCAGCCAATTGCTTTGCCGGTCAGCTTGGTTGCTCTTATTATTCCCCATGGGCTCCTCTCTGTGCTGTTCCTCTTCTATAGCTCCCTGGGCCCTTCACATCAGGAAACACCCCCCGCCAGCCACTTGCCCACCCAAACTCCATCTTGGCTCCAGGACAAACAGGACCAACTGAGCAGCTGAACATGGTTGGTGGGCCAGTCTTGCATGTGAATGGGCAAAACTGATCACTCAGCAGAGAGGGGAGGGGGACTCAGGCCAGGGTAGAGTTGTCCTATTGTGATGGGTGTCCATGGGAAAAGAACAGGGAGGTAGAAGCCCCAGCCAAGAGAACCAATGGTGCCTGAACAAGAAAATGAGCACCTAGAAGACGTTGGAGCCAGGAGCCGGGCCAGACAAGGGTGTCTTGCCCAGCCACCCCTAATCTGGCACTCATCTGACCTTTCAGGATACTGGCCTTCCGGCCTTCTGGCGGGCACTGGATTAGCAGAGGTGTGACATGGGACTGAAGAGCTGCTCTCTGAGCTGAAGGTTTTGTAGGTTCAAAGTGGGAGGGGTGAGGAGCCAGCCCAGGGAATGGCTGTCCTCCTGGAAAGAAGGGTGTGGTTTGGGGATGGGGCGTGTCAGTGTTGGCTCGCACACACACCTGTCTGAAAACCCAAGATGTGCATTTAGCATGTAGAACAAACTAGAGAAATTAGGGGAAGGACCCAAGGGGAGGATGTTTTCTCAGGTTTAATCGGGGCTTCTGGACCACTCCTCTTACACAGCAGGTTAACAGAGGACCTTTTCTTCTTCTTTCTTTCTTTCTTTCTTTCTTTTTTTGTACTAGGAACTAAACCCAGGGGCCCTTTATCACTGATCTATATACCCAGCCCCCTCTTATATTCAATTTTGAGACAGAAGTCTTGCTAAGTTGCTTAGGGTCTCACTAATTTACTGAGGCTGGCCTTGAACTTGTGATCCTCTTGCCTCAGCCTCCTGAGTCAAGGATTACAGACATGCACAAACAGCTTCTTCTCACTGACCAAGTTCAGGGAGGCAAGGCGAGAGGAAAGGTGGAGTTCAGGGCCATTCACCTTCCTGCTGGCTCCAGGCCAGAGTAGCCATGGATATTCCAGAACTGCAGGCTCTGCTCATGGGGAAAGACCAGAGTGCTGGGTGGGCAGGGCCAAGGGTCTGGGGGTGGAGCAGAGCAAGGAAGGCTGTTTTGAGGCAGCATGGAATTAGAAAGAACAGGTTGCTAGAACCTTCTAGCACTGAAGGGAGCCCCTGCTTCATGGTTCCTTTGGGATCTCAAGGAGCGTGGCTCACGGCTGGTGGAGCACAGCCCACAGGTGCTCTTCTTTCCCTGGGCTGAAGAGGCTGGGGCAGGAAGATTAGAGGGCCACATGGATCCTCTGCATTTTTCTATTTGGATCACAATCAAATTCTAGCTGCACACTGAAGGTGGGAGGTTGTGTCACAGTGGGAGTCTCCTGAGTCTCCCAAGTGTAGTGAGTCCTAAGCGCCAAGCTGGACAGAGTTAGGCAGAGAGGCCTCTGGGCAGGGGAGAGGCTGGCCACATGGTTGGTCCAGAGGCCCCTCCTCCAATTTCTGTTTCCTTACCCAGACCTCCCCAGAAACACCAGAAGAAGTTACCCTAACTCAAAACTTCCTATTATACTCAAATAAAAATTGTCCAGATCAAGGTGGACAGGGGGAGGGGCACAAAAAAGTAGAAGGGAAGACTTGTGGATGCTGAGGGTCAGGTGTCCAGCATGTCTGTCTAGTGTTCCTGTGGAGATAAGAGCTTGGTCAAATGCAGCCTAAGGGATGGAGGCCGGT